TTTTTTTTAAGATTTTTATTCATTTATTTGACAGAGATCACAAGTAGCTAGGGAGGCAGGCAGAGAGGGGGACGGGGAAGCAGGCTCCCTGCTGAGCAGAGAGCCGGACATGGGGCTTGATCCCAGGACCCTGGGATCATGACCTGAGCTGAAGGCAGACACTCAATGACTGAGCCACCGCGGCTCCGGGCAATTACTTTTAACTCTGGTTGGTTTGTTTGTTTTTTTTTTTTGGTTTTTTTTTGTGTGTATGTTTTTTCTTTGCAGCACAGTAGCTACACGTACGGTGGGAGCCCATCACCGTGCTGCTGGCGATGATTCCCAACAGCCAGTTCTGCTGAGGACTTGCCTGCAGTGTGTCAGGCGTTGTGCTAAATACCACGTAGGGAGGATACGCTGCCTGCTGCCTTCTCAGACGAAGAAATCAAGACTTGCCGAGGAGAAGTAATTTTCCTAAGTCACATCATGCACTAACGGCAGAGCTGGAACACAAAAGCAGTTCTGCCTGCTGTGCGGCTAACCTGTAGACAAAATGTTGAGGATGAATTTTGATTTCCTTCTCTGCGCCCTTCTCATTTGATCTCTTGTCGGAATCTTTCTGATAGCCGCTCTCACTATGACTCTGGCTCTGACTTTTCTCTCTGCCAATGATAGCCAAGTGAGGCCTAGTCCAGAGAGCAGACGATGTGGGAGGCGGGTGTCTGAGGATTAAGTAAGGGTCCTCTGACGGGTTGGTTTAGGTAATGTGGCAGAAAGGCCTCAACCAAATGACCCTGTAGAGCTTACCTATAAAAGAGATGGGAGGCACCAAATTGGGCAGATAAGAAAACCAGAAACAGCTAATCAAACCTGACTTGGGTCACTGAAGTCAAAAGCGTGAGATAGAGGTAGTAGTTGTGGGACCAAAGAAGGGACTGGAGTCCAGGAAAATAACTTGGAAAGGGAGGTCCGACTTCCTTACCGTTTCTAGGCAGGATGGAAGTATTCCAGGCTTTAAGGAGCCGTCACTGAGCTCTTTGCACTGGGCTCAGGGATTCTATTTCTCACCTCTTTCCAAAGAGCTGCAGGTTTTCAGATGGCTCGGTGCTCATTACCTCTTGAGCTATTACACACAGTCCTTCTAATTCCCCCTTTCACCGGCCGCCTCCAGGCTTCTGCCCCGGTAGATCCAGCTACACCCGTGTGTGGCTTGTCCCCAGCATCCTCACCGAGGGCCTTGACCTGGGTCACTGTACTGTTTTACTCTCCTCAGCTTTCCAGATCTACTCCTCCCTTTGTTGCCCTGTTCCAGGCAGCATCACACCGTCTCCCCTGCCGTCTAGCTCCCCATGAGAACAGGCCAGTGGGAGGCACTCGCTGAGACCCAGCTGAGTCCTGCTGCCTGAGACCACCGCTTCCCCTGGAGCTCAGCCCCCTCCCTTGGCTACAACTCGCACCACTTCCTGCCGCGTTTAAGACTGCTAAAGGCTTTCCAGCTGCGGGGAGGCCCTGGGAGCCTCACCATCTCTCCGCTCATTAGCCCTGCCCACACCCTTGTAAATAATCCCTTCATTAAATGCCATCCCTGTTAGCTCTTGGAGTGTACCCTCCGTTTTCTGCTGTAATACATGCTGATTCAGTCACTTTCCTTATTTTGTTTTTGTAGATCTTGCTTCTGTTTCCTGCTTTGTAGTTTCCTTGGAATTTATTCCTAATTCCTTTCATCCTCGGGGTCCTGTACTTTAGTCCAGACCTTCAACAGCTCCGTTTAATAGTCCGTACCGACCGCGTCCACTACCCAAGGGTCTCTGGCGATTACCTTCACCCCAAGCTTTTGAAAGTCTCTTAACTGGTTTAGTGTTTCCTGCCTCTCAATTCTCCTGCTCGGTTGATATTCATAAACAGTACTTTAATTAGATTCTCTCCTTCCTCAAATATCTTCAGTGGCTCCCAGCTGCCTATAGAAAAAAAAATTGACCATTTAGCCTCACATTCAGTCCCTCCATGGCCCTACCTTTTCTGTTTGCCTATAAAGCCCTCTCTTCTAGGGTTCTGACCCGTCCTCACATAATACACTCGTGCCTTCTGCCTCCAGTACTTCTGACGCTCTCCCAGCCGCAGAGAATCCTTTCTCTCTCGCTTGCCTACACGCTCCTTGTGCTTTGATGCTGGCCTCTAACCTCAGCTCCTCAGACTCTCCCTAGACCTTAAATCTCTGTCAAATGATCTCTCTCCTTGCACGACAGTGAGCTTACGGTCTGTTCTCTCTCTCTCTCTCTGACAGTTAATTATGTCCTGCCTTATGAAATATGTTACCTAAATCTTTTACGGGTATTTAACAAATGTACGCGCTCCACTGCGTACTGGCTGTGTGAACTCGAGACGCGTTCCTTCCCTCCCCCTTCCCTTGCTTCTGCGACATCTACTGAGCAACGTACGTGCAGGTGTCAGGCTCCGCTGGTGACCGAGTGCTGACACGCGTCCCATTCACGTGGGACTTAAACGCACGAGCGACACAGATACTCGTCCAGTAAATCCACAAGCACAGCTGCCGCTCTGGTAAGCGCCAGGGGAGGTGGGTCTGCGATGCAGCCACAGCTTTCAGCAGGCGCTTCGGTGTGAGACTGGGGGACGGGCGCGGGAAGAGTGAGCGAGGCTGGGGCTGGCGAGCGGTGAGGCGTTGCGTAGGAGACCAGCAGGTGCAAAGCCCGTACCGCGGGCATCCTGACTCCTGTTTCCTTAGTTGAGTGGTACCGTCCACGGAACAGGAACTCAGCATTTGCCGATCTTTCTTGACTCTTAGGTCAAATGTGTTCTAACCAGACCTTGTAGATCGATACCTTGCCTGGCCTAGTGCCTGTCCCTGGGAGGTATTGTCCAGAGGTGTCTCCTAGGTCGGTGTATCGGGCCCTTAGTGTGTGTGACTTGTTACTGTGTCTAGTTTTCCTCACAGGTTTGCAAGTTTCTTCAAAGTTTAAGGGACTGGGTATATCGTATACCTTCTATCTCAGATGTCTTGTGAACCAGCCCTCAACTAGTGTTTCCTAAACATTGTAGTTCAGTCTCTGTTGATGATGGTAGAGACCCCGTTTTCTCCCTCCGCCTCACTTTGTCCTTCCATTTCTGGGGAGCAGGAGTCAGACTCTGGGATGTGTTACCTCTTGTCGGAGAGGGCTCAGGACTGGATATGGGCCACCGGATCTTTTTCGGGGAAGTGATGGATCAGAGTAGAAGAGAAATCCATTTCTTCGAATGTTGGGGCACAGAGCCCCACTGTGAAGCGAATAGTTCTGTAGAGCCTCAAGGGTATGTAAGGACTGTCTCTGCACAGCAGCATGGAAGGGACTTTGGGCACGTGACTCACTGGCTGAAAGGAGCGTTGCCCAGGACCCCAAACAACTTAACTTTCCTGGACTGAGCTGAGCCAATATCCAGATTTCTGAGTCTTAACTTTTTTTTTTTTAATCCTTTAAAAACCAAATGTGAAGGGTATTTGCTAAAGGATCCTAAGGTGGATGAGGGGCTGTGGTAATGAGGGAGGGAGGGGATGACTGCAGTGAAGGCGAGGGCCTGGCCATGCTCAGTCCTCCCAGCGCAGCCTCACTCGACCCTCCGCTCTCCTAGACAGGCCTGCGGGTTCAGGCCCGAACACTAGGTTGGCTTCGATTTCTAAAAGAAGCTGGAGTAAAGCACAGAGATTCGTCCATTTTATTCAGCAGCTTATTCTGAAAAGATTAAAATTAAATAAAAGAAACCAAACAAGCTCCTGGTCTTGTTTGACTAGGTAAGTTTGACCTGGTTTAGTCTTTAATGCGGCGACTGGAAAAGCCGCCCCTGGACCGTTGTGCTTCAGGAGAGCTGGCCGTGACCGAGCTGTTTATCCACAGCAAGGGGGGGCATGTCACCTGCTACGAAGAAACTAGGTTAAACAGCAGGGAAAGGACCAGGGTAGCAGCCTTGGGGAGGGGGCAGTGTCCCCGACTTAGAGCAGTGTTACAGCTTGCGGCTTTCCTCTGCCCAGGCCTTACGGGGAAGCCCCTGGATGGTCTTACCAGCTGGCAGAGATGGGTGGTGGATAACGAGGCAGAGCAGAGTCAGGATTCCAGAAGCTTCTCACGGAGCTGCCCCTCCCCCCGGGGTAGCCACTAGCCCCCTCCTCCTGTTTGCCACGCACCCCCTTACCCCCACGCCCAGTGCCAGGACTGGGGCTCTTCTGGCTTAGAGAGCATTTGGGCAGCCCGCAGCCACGTAGAGGGCTGGGCCTTGGCCTTGGGCCCGTCCTGAGCCCCACACCCTTGCGGTGCTGGTGTTTGGAGGCTGGGGTCATGGCATCCCGTCGGTGCCCCCCACACACCGAAGAGGTCAGCTCCCTGTTGGACTTCCTGTAGCAGGCTGAAGCGGCTGTGGCCCTCCCACCCTGTGCAGGAAGGGGACATACAGTGTACTTCAAGAAAAGGACACAGAAGGTGCTTTTATTTTAAAACAAAACAAAAAAAAAAGTGCTACAGTGACAGGACACCGCCGGGTGCAGCACACAGCATAAGTGGGTTCCAGATGCCTGTGGCCCCAGCAGCCACCCCCTTCCTGTCTCCCTCCTCCTGGACCTGAGCCCGCGGGGGTTATCAGAAGCCTCAGCGGGCATCTCCTCACTTCGGAAGAGCTGCTTCCGTGCCTCCCTCTCCCATCATCAAACCCGAAAGCCTCCTCGGCTATCTCACTTCCATCTCGAAACCAGGATCACTGGTCAAAAGTCCGGAAATCGGAGGAGCCCTACCCCAAAACCAGAGCAGGATGTCTGCCCCCACGCTAACATCTCCTTTCCATACGTTCAGGATATTTGTCCTAAACACATCTGTATGCATCATACATCTCTGCACGTATATATTATCTCTGTGTCTCTATCTCCCTAGGTCAGCCTTCCATTCGTACCACGTCCTACTTCCTGAGCCTCCACCCAGGTCTCGGCAGCTGGTCCAAGGGAGGCTGGTTTCATCGATTTCACTGGGTCCCTAGCAGCGCCCTGTGTCATCGTCACACCCTGAGTACCTTCCCCCATTGGTGGTTTTGCCCACGTGGCATCTCCCCGCTAACATCGGTGCCTAGGGCTCCTGCCATTCCAAGTCTATGGTTGGCGGGGCCAGGGGACCCCAGACCCGGCTGCTTCTCAAGCTTGTCTCATAGCCTGAAGAAGGGTTTCGGCTCCGAGGAAGAGGCCATAGTGTAAACTGCTGGTTGGGGGTAGGAGGGCGCACTGTTTTCTGGAAAGGCGTATGGGATAGCCAGGCTGTGTTAAAAAAGGACAGTGTGACTTAAAGTGCAGCTTAGAGCAAAGTCTGGGGTCACGGAGGTGAAGCAAAAAGGTTAAGTCAGAAGATGTCCTCATTCTGTTATGCAAGAATCTGAGCAGCGTCTGGGGCCTAGAGCGGACAGCAGGGGACGAGGGAGAGAGGGTGTCCCTCAGGAGGGACGCGGCTGTATGCAGAAGAGACTAGTGGAAGATAGCTTGCTGTTGGGTAAGAAGGTGCGCACGCGCACACACACCCACAGTCCAGTACTCTGGGCCCTTGCACGTGGGAAGAAGGTAAGTCTAACGTTGAATAAAGTTGAGAGCCTAGAAACTGGCTCTTTGCCTTCTGTTCTTCTGTGTCGGATTTTCAAGTTTTTCTGGTTCTGGCTTTCTTGAGAGCTAGGGACTGTTGGTGGGGTTTGCGGTCCGTGAAGAATGCAGGGTCTTCCATTTTCAAGTCGTGGTTAGCCAAGTTCGAGGAAAGATGCACGTAAGAGGATCTTACGCGGATCCTGTGGTGACCGTGGGTCCAGCCTCGGAACCGTGAGGTTTCTCTGTAAAGCTCTGCACGCAGACGCACGTGCACATTCTGGGGAGGTGTGTAGCTTGTCACAACTGACCCGAGTCCTCCCGAACAAGCTGCCACTTGACTCATGCAGGGGACTCTATGCCCGGCCACCATGGGGGCAAGGGGGACAGTTCCTGTACCTAAATGAGACCAGGAGGCACTCTTGGGATTTGGGGCTTTAGAGAAAGTTCTGGGGCCCGTTTGCCCTTCTTGGCCACTCCCACGGCCCCCAGCAGGGAACAAGGAACAGCCTGAGCTTGGTCTCCTAAAGTGTGCCCTTTAACGCCCCTGAAGGTGGCTTTGTGGCAGAGGAGAGTGGAGATGGGGCTGGTGCCCACTTTAGCCCAAGTCTCGGCAGTGGCTAAGGGAGACCCTGGTTATTCGATCAGGAGGCATGGTCTCCTTCCCTCCCAGTGTTGCCTAATAAGATAGCTGATATTGTCAGAGGGCCACAGGCAGGAGTGACAGGGAGAGTGGTGTCTGCCGGCCACAGAGTTCTGCCCTGCCCCAAGCCCTAATAAAACACCCCTAATTCCCAGAGGCTCCATACAGCAGTCTGGAAATCTGAGAATTTACTCCTCCTGCATGGTGGGGTTGATGTCACTTTCCTAGGGAATCTGGGCCCTGTAAGTATCTGGAACATCATTTCCAGACCTTTCTGTGGGACCTGGGAACATACTGGCAAGGCTCATCCCATCCAGAGGTCACAGGGAATCAAATCCAGGGCTGTGTGCAGAGTAGGGTCAAGGTCTTGGACAAGAGTTCTGCATTAGTCCCTCCACACCGAGAGTTCAGATTCCGGGATGGGTGCAGGTGTGGTGTGACCGTTGCAGGTTTCCTGGGTCAGCCTCAGTTCCTGGGAGCAGAGGCAGCTATGAAAGAACTGGGTATTGGAAGAGAGGGTCCACTTGAGAGAATGGAAAGAGGAAAACTGGTGACCAGGGCTCTAGATTATAGTCCAAATTTGCCAGCAGAAATGAGCCACCCTATGAAAAACCCTGACTTCTCTCAACAGGGCTTGGTAGAGAACCCAGGATAAATGAATTCCAGATTCCCATCTTTCTAAGGGCACAGACCCCAAAAGAACTATCAGAGTTTTGTCTTAGGGAACCAGCTGCGTGGGAAATTAGAGGCGGGTGGGGGCTCCAGCCTCAAGCCACCAAACGGGAGGTGGGGGGAGTCTATCCATCCAACTGGAGCGGCCCTCCTAACGTGAGTCTCCAAGCATGGCTGAGGCATTCTAAGCCACTTCAGCCTGATCTTCCCTCCCCTTCCCCCATCCTGTCGTAAGGGAGTTGTGCTTCGGGCGGAAGTCGGGGAGGTGAAGGGGACGATGGAAGGAAAGCTCGGACTCCGGTTGGCCTCGCCTAGCCGCAGGCCGCCAGGTTAAAGCAGAGGGAGTGGAGGATGGGTGCTTCTGGGACTCTCCGGTGAGCCCGGGTAACAGCCCTCACCCAGGACGCCAACATCGGGGAGACCAGAGGGATGGGGAGGTGGGAAACCAGCCATCAGACGTTGCTGATGCGCACGCTGAGGGCGCTGCCCTCCTTCTCCGCCTGCTCCCGCAGCGACTCCTCCAACTTGAGCTTCTCTGGGTCTCCGTAGCGCACGGTGCTGTCCCGGAGGCCACTAGGGGGGGCCACTTTCACTACTTGATCGAAGAGGCTGAAGTCCGCTATGTACTTGCCGCTGGCTGACAGCGAGATGGCGGGTGTGAACTCGTAGCCCCAGAGGATCTCCTCGGGCAGGTAGGAGGTGCGCACCTGGCAGGTGGCGCTGGTGGACTCCACCGTCCCGCTGAGAATCAGCACCAGCTCGAAGTCGCCCTCGCCGCTGCGAAGGGGCAGGTCCTTCAGGGGACTGCTCTCGTCCACCACGTGGTAGAACGTCAGCGGCAGGATGAGGAACGGGCTGTCGGAGGCGGTGTCCACCTGGAAGGTCACGTTGACCTGGTTGAGCCGGATGTTCTCACCCTCTTTGGTCTGGTGGGTCTGCAGCAGTTTGCCCGTCACCTGGCAGCCGATGAGGAGGCTCTTGCGCATGTTGGCGACGCGGATCATGAGGCAGGGCTTCCCGTCGTGCGCGGCGACCACGGCGTGCTGGCTGAACCGGATGGTCTCCGCGCGCTTCTTGGGCCGGGCGATCTTGGCCAGGAAGGTGCCCGTGATGAAGATCTCCAGGATGGTGGTGAGCACCAGCTGCGCGATCAGGAGCACGATGGCCAGCGGGCACTCCTCGCTGATGTAGCGGAAGCCGTAGCCGATGGTGGTCTGCGACTCGAGGGAGAAGAGGAAGGCCCCGGTGAGCGTGTGCACCTGGACCACGCAGGGGGTGTGGTTGGCGGGGGGGCCCAGCTCCAGCAGGTCCCCGTGGGCCACCGCGACCAGGTACCACACCACACCGAAGAGGAACCAGGTGCCCGCGAAGGTCGCCGAGAAGAGCAGCAGCTTGTACCGCCACTGCATGTCGATGAACGTGGTCCACAGGTCCTTGAGGTAGAGGAAGCGCTTGTCGGCGATGTGCTCCATCCTCACGTTGCTGCGGCCGTCCTTGGTCAGGACTCGGCGCCGTCGGACCGCTGGGCCCACGAGGGGCCGGCTCTCCGTCTGCGTGGTCTGACTGTAATACACCTTGGCGACCGATGTCATCTGGAGGGAGCAAGACAGCATAACGCAGGTTACAGCAGAAACCCAGCCGACTCCTGGCCACCCCCCAACGCGAAGGAGGAAGTCACATTCGTTTGGTGCCGCTGACTGGTTCTTACCAGTAGCCAAGATTTATGAGCGCCTGCTGAATGCCAAGAGCCGTGCAAGACACTGGTGGGTCAACAAGAATGACATCATCCTTGCTCCCCAAGAACCCACAGCCCAGTGAGTGAGACACGTTCAGTGAGCAAGTACTCACAATGCAGTCTGATCCTTGCGATTCTTGGGAGACGCAGAAAAGACAGGGTCGTGATAAGCTCACAGTGCCTTGAAGGTGGACCAAGCAGAGAGGGCTCTACCAGTCTCTAGTCCCCACAAGGCCAGTTCTGTGATGCCCTCTCATCCTGAAATAGGGTCCCTCCCCTCCCTCATGAATGGCAGAGCAAGAAAGACTATCCTGTTGAAATCGTTCCAGGCCAACCCCCCTTAAAACACACAAACCCTTCATTTACTCACTTTTCTCCCGGCCCCGAGTCAGTACTCACTGGTGACACCAAGATACTCATCTGGCTCAGGAAAGAGCAGAAACCGCCCATCCTTCTACCCTTGGAGATGTCCTCTGAGCACCCAGTCCATTTCACTATGTCTTATCGTGATTACTCTTATCCCTCTATTGTCACCATCACTATCATCTATTTGCATCACGGCGGGGGCTCAGCCTGGGTCGGTGGCAGGATGCGGGGCACGGGTGGGAAGAGCACAGATGGGACCCGAGCAGAAACAACTGAGTCATGGTGGAGAACCACACAGCGAGGCCTCCTGACGGTGCGGGTGCGGGAACGTTTCCCCAAGGACTCGGGGACTGCCGGGTCACCGGCAAAGTCGCCTTGACGGGGTGAAGTAGGAAAGTTCGTGTGTATCAGTTAGCACGCGCTCCAATTCAGGATTGCTGTTTGTCCTGAGAGAAGAAAGGGGGAGAGGCTCTGAGATAGCTCGCTTCCTACGAGGGGCCGGCACCCCTGCCCAAGGAGTAACTTGAGCTTTTCCAGCAGAGAAAGGATTTCAATCACTGGAACCCTTGGATTCTGGCTCTGGAGGCCAGACCTTCTGGGAAGGAGGAGGGTGATCTCAGGGGCGTTCAGTCCTTGGAGAACAAAGAGGCTCATCACATTCTCTGTTCCAAAAAAATCTGAACCATTGCACTTTATCCTTCACACTGCTCCCTTACCCCGTCTTCCCCACGAGCTGACACCTGGAACACGGAACTATCTGGGCGCATTCAAACACCGATCCAAGTAGACCCTAGACCGGCGACTGGCAATGGACGGGAGTCCCGGAATGCTCAGAGGTAACCAGGAGCCTGTTCCGCCGGCCTCCGCCCACCTGGCACTTTTGTCGGAGTGAGGCCACTCGGCCAGACCTGGATGCCGTCCACTTCCCAATACCCTTAGCTACTTGGGAGCAAAGGGGAACAATTGGTATTTAGAGCCCAAGGAAAGCCCCGTTCAAAACTCAGTAGTAGTAGTAATAAAAAAAAAAAAATGCACAGCACCTGCATCTCTGTACAATTTTTAAAAAGATTTTATTTATTTATTTGACAGAGATCACAGGTAGGCAGAGAGGCAGGCAGAGAGAGAGGAGGAAGCAGGCTCCCTGCTGAGCAGAGAGCCCGATGCGGGGCTGGATCCCAGGACCCTGAGACCATGACCTGAGCCAAAGGCAGAGGCTTTAATCCACTGAGCCACCCAGGCGCCCCCCTCTCTATACCATTTTAAAGTTTACCGATTAGTACGCCTTCACATTTGATCCACAAACTGGAAAAGATGTGAAACGGACAGAGAAAGTGCTGGAAAGTTGTGGATGAGTGAACCTAATTTTAATATCCAAAAAGAAAAAGATGATACATTTCACAAACTGCAGACAAACAGGTAAGATACCCTAGGCAAGTTTCTAGAACAGCGCATTAAGACTGCGAGTGCTTGGGGGTGCCTGGCTGGCTCAGTCGGCTAAGCGCCCGACTCCTCTGATTTCGGATCAGGTCTTGATCTCAGGGTCACGAGACTGGGCTCCACATTCAGCAGGGAGTCGCTTGACGTTCTCCCTCTCCCCCGCCCTCGCAAATAAATAAACCTTTAAAAAAAAAAAAAGAGGGGGTGCCTGGGCGGCTCAGTGGGTTAAGCCGCTGCCTTCGGCTCAGGTCATGATCTCAGGGTTCTGGGATCGAGCCCCGCATCGGGCTCTCTGCTCAGCGGGGAGCCTGCTTCCCTCTCTCTCTCTCTCTGCCTGCCTCTCTACTTGTGATCTCTATCAAATCAATAAATAAAATATTTTTAAAAAAAAAGATTGCAAGTATTTGGGCAGGTTGGGGGAAGGGCAGTAGGACCCAGCAGGGGGTGTTACCCAGAACAAGACCCATCAAGGAACCTAACTGCCTTCCCGGAAAAGGTTACTACGGAAACAAGTCAGAGAAAGCAATAGAGAAAGTGTCTCCATGCAAGGGTTTTGACAAGATCTCTTACATCCTTGGGGCTAAGACCGAGAAAAAAGAACAGCTACTCTGATCCTGGGGGCTGAAACATATAAAAATCAGTGGTACTAGTGAGTGGATCATTTTCTATTTTCTAGTGACGTACCAGAGAGATTTATCTCTGGCCTTACCCCATTCAGTGTCTGCAACATTACTTTATTCGAAACTCCAGAACACATGGCCGTCAATCACGTGGGTGACACAGAGCAGGGCTGGATCGCAAATGCAAGGTCTGGGCAGAATTAGGATCCAAACGGAGCCAGAGGAGCAGGCCGACTCTAACAAAAAAGATAATTATTGCGTATGTGTATGAGTATGTGTATGTACTAGGGTCTAAAACTTACCTGAGCAATTCTGGATTGGAAAGATGTGATGCATTTTGGTTGCCAAAAAGGCAAGGCTATTTCAAGCTACTTCAGGCGAGTTCGGGTATGCAGAGCAAGGAGGCTGTTGATCGTGCTCAGATCTGCTTATCCTGCACCTGCTGTTTTGAGTCTCAAAGGACAGTCAGAACCAGATCGTGCAAGAAACGGCTAAAGGAAACGGGGAAGTTAGTTGGGAGAAGAGGCGATCTGAGGGGTACGAGTGCTTGGGTGCAAATATTTGGTCTGAAGTGCTGTCCCGTGAACGAGGGTTTGGACTTGGTCTTTGAGATCTAAGAGGAGCCACCACTGAGCTTACACCACAGGAGGAAAGATTCCGGACTGATACGACAAAGAACAGCGTAACAATCAGGACAGGCAGAGCTTCTCTAGAAGCAGTCGGTGCTCGGTCCCTGGAGGGGTTCACGGGCAGGATGGGCAAGCGCTTTGCCAAAATTCCGTAGACGGACGGAGGTGAAGGACGGTCTGTACCCTCTCACCCACACTCTGGGAGGATCAGGATGCCCACCCGCTCTGCGCCTGCCGTCTCCTCCCTTCCCGAGGTGACCTTCAGGGCATCTGTCCCCAAAGTTCCAGCTCTGTTGGTGCTGAGGAAAGATTCCACTTGTCTTGAGGAATGGAGGCTCTTGGGGCCCAAGGGAAGGCTCGCTTCTCATCCCCAAAACAGTAGTCTGGGGTTGTATATCACGTCACAGTTCTTAAAATATGTAATTTGACCCTCACACCATGAACTAAGTACAAATCGTTAGAATCGGCTCTGAGATTTGTCCCAAGCAGATTAGTGGTAGAGGTGGAACCAGTACCAGTCTTCTGTCTCTTGGTCCAGAACCCTTTTTTTTTTTTTAAGTAAGCTCCACACCCAACGTGGGCCTGAATTCACAACCCTGAGATCAAGGGTCGCACGCTCCCGGGATGGAGCCAGCCAGGCGCCCCCAGAACATTTTAATTACAGTAACTGCTTCTGGGTCCCCCCAGGTGCGCCACCATGGGTCCCAGGGTCTCGGGAAGTGCCTCCGTGGTGCCCCGTAGGGAGAGGATCACAGCTGAGCCGCAGAGGACAGAGCCTGGAGCTTTCAGATTCATGGCGCTGGAGATCTGGGCTGCTGGCGAGGACTGCTGTGATTGCCGCCTCCAGCTGCGTGCCTGCTGCTGCCAGCCTTCTCTCGGCCTCCTCCAGCTGCTCCCAGCTGTTGGGCCACCTCCCACAGCCAGGCAGCTTTGTTCTCCGCGGGGGCCAGAGTCAGAAGTGGGTAAACAATCCGCCAATCCGCTCCCCCCCCCCCCCCCCCACCCCTCCACCCCCCACCCCTCCACCCCCGCCTCCCGCACTGGCCTGGCCCTGGTTCCCGCTCTGGGGAAGCGAGCAGGACCCAGCTCTGGAACCGGCCTCCAGTGCCTGCCCCCCGCACACCTGCGCCTTCCTCTAGAGGGTGCCATTTCCCCCAAAACCATCTCAGCCCCACGCCAGGGACAGTGTCTGAAGACTTCGGGCTACAAAGCCAGCCCCCAACGGGTGAAAAGACAGAAATGGAGACGTCCCCTTCGTGCTCCAAGAACTGTACTAAGGACTTTTTTGTACACAAAGGCCAGGTGTACCCACAGTGGTGTCTGGCAGGCGTCCTCGGAACACACAGCTCCCGCCTCCTGCTTTGTGCCTGACCCAGAGGCACCCCAGAGCGCATGAGTCGTTAATGCTCCAGAGCAAGCGCGTTCATCAGAGCCTGACCCCACGAGGGGTCTCTCGTGATTCACTTGGTCCACGGCTCCCAACTGCCTTAGGATAACGTGCAAAAAAGCCTTTGGTCTGGTCTCCAGCTTCCCGTTGGCTTTGCTCCTGCCGCTCTTGCCCACGCCCTCTGGAGCCCAGCTCTGCTTAGGACCTGCTGTGTCGTCCTCCTTGGACCTGCTCTCACACTGCTCCCTGCCTACCTGCCGACCTCCTGCTTATCCCTCCGAACTCAAGTGTCGGTTGCCCGCTTCGAAGCCTTTCCTGACCATCGAAGAAATAGTGGGTGTGCTCCCTCTCCCTGGCCTCCCTGCAGCGTGCGTTAGGAAGCCCGCTCTACACACGTTCCCATTTCAGAACACCAGAG